TCAGCCTCTGCAGCGGCACAGGGAAGGTTTCCCACCGCATCCACGGCCCTCGGGCCTTCCGGCCCGGCCCGCAGCTCTGCTCTCGCTTCGCCCACCCCGCACCCCGAGGGCCCGCCGTCCGTTCGCTCGGTGCGGGCCCACGCGATCCCATGGGCGGCAGCCGGCTCTGGCCCCTCGGGAAGGGCGCTCCGCCCGAGCCCCGCGGGTGCCGCCCCGCGGTCAGAGCCGGCACGGCGCGGCGGCCGCTTCGTCGCGAGGCCGTTACGCGGCTGCGGAGGAACGGCGGGAGGTGGGCGCGTGCCCCGCTCCTCGCCCCCGCCGGAAGAGCTTCCACTCCGAAAAGAGGGAACCCCGCCCCGGCGGACCCCCCGCCGACGCCATCCTCCTTCTCCTTCCCCGCGGGGCCCGCGAACGACCGCAGGTTCTGCCCCGACGGCCGCTTCTGCCCGGCGCTTCGCGAGACCGCACCGCCGCGCAGCGCAGCTACTTTTCGTTCTGAGAGGTGCGGGGCAGCAGCGGCCTCCGATCCGCGGGTCCAGGCACGAGCTGCGCACCGCAACCGGGGCCGCACCGCCGGCCCTCACAGGACCCTGCAGGAGCGCGTGCGCCCCAGACCCGACGGCAAACAGCTGCCGTCAGAGAGCTGGGACAACACAGCCGTCCTCTGGGACTCTCAGGTAAGGGGGAACGAGCACGAACTGCTGATGGCCCCGCAAAGCTCCGCACGAAGGCCGGGGACGCACATCCTTCTTGTTCTGACGGCAGCAACAAATGCTTTCCCTACCTGAACCCTTAGCAGAAGCACTGTGCTCAGGGAAGGGAATGAACGAGAGTTACTGCTCATAACTGCACCTCGTGGAACTGCAGACACACAAACAGCAGCACACTGCGCTGCCACCTCAGACGTTCAGTGATGGCAGCTTCAAGCTGCTGTTAATTTTGTCTCTGCAAGTTGTCTTCTCTGAGCACAACAGTGCTATCCCAACCTGTGACTTCCCCTGGGATATTCAGTGCCTGGTAATTAAGTTTCTTTCTGTTTTTCTTTTTTCTCCCCATTACTGACTAATAAATGGCGTGTTAGTGACAGCTCGTTGGATCTTCTATAAAGATCCTCCCTAAGCAGTGCTGCTGTCACATCCCTGGCTGGGGGCAGACAGCAGCAGCCACGACACGTGAAGCGTACTCTGATGCTGCCTCCAGCTCTGCATTCAGCTTCTCCCTGTCTTCTTTCAAATCACAGCACAGCTCGTGCTCCTCTCAACAGGCAGTCAGCTCCTGGGATCATACATCAGTCTGGAATTTACACCCCAGTGCTCAGGACAGGACTTGTGGGCCATCAGGGCAACGTCTCCTGTGTCTGCTCCTCCGTGACAGGAATGCTGCCAAGAGCCATCAGGCTTAGTGCTGCCCCTAGCAGTGCTGGGGCACAGAACGCCTCTCCAGAAAAGCCCAAACTCACCTGAGCACAGCCTGCCCAATTGCCAGGACGCAGGAGCAGCCTTTCCTTCCCTGTTCAGGCATCGGGCTTCTGGCACTGGTCAAAAGCTCCTGTTTCTCCTAACGGGCTGCTGCTGGCCACTGCAGGGTATTCAGAAATGGGAAGCAACCTACCTTGTAACCCCATCTCTGTTTAGGCAATGTATCAGCCTCACGGAGCCCAAGCTTCCACACACAATACTTGTATAACCAAGATGTTGTAATCGCAATATAATCAAAAGAGTAAGGCAAAAGCAAACAAGGATCACAAAAGAGAATAAGTAGAAGAGCTTACCCTTGGGTTGAGCTCACTACAAGATACCAAAAGAGGAGGATCTCCAGAAGAGATCCTTCCCCTCTGGCAGCTAGCTCTTAAATAGGTCCACCCCTTCCGGCAGCACAGGTGAATTGCCTTCACCTGTGCTCCTCTGGCTGACTCAAGGCTCACCTCAGGTGATTAATCAGAGGTTCAGGCCGTGACTCAGCAGTTCCCATACAATACTCCATCTTAAAGTGTGCTTCAGCAGCCTGGACCCTGCAGGGCTTGAGCCCACAGCTTGCCAGGCTGGGTCTCCTTTAGTGCCAAACATATCATGTTCAGGTCCACACTGAGCTCTGAACAAAGTGATCACACAGCCAATATTAGCATCATTGCAAAGCTATCCCTCCTAAGAGCTCAATATATGGGAAACTCACTTTACCACACATAATTAGTCCTCTGGTTACAATTTATTTGAGGCTTAAAAATCCTTCATATGTATGCTGAGTTCAGCGGGCAGAATTAAGATCTTTTCCTGAACAGAATCTGGATCCAATCTTTTGGAAGGACTCCCTGATGAGTACAGAATTCTGTTTGAATACATCAACTTCACTAATACAAGCCATCGCTGCTGCATCACAGCACTGGGCAACTCTTCATTACATCAGAACCAAAAAAGGCCTGCAAAATCAGAATGCTGGGCTCCAAAAGACTCCAGCAGGGGACAGAAAATCCACTTAACCAGTTCTGTGCTTCACAGGTTAAAGTTTGGAACCCTGAGATGGGGGAGTGCCTACAAACTCTCAAGGTAACAGTATTCTGGTTGAACCAGCTTTCTCTGCCCTGGCTGCTGTATTTTGTTTCACTGCAATCAGCCTCCAAACGCACACGCTTGGTCAGAAACTTTCATGCCATCCTAACTCTTCAACTGTAACCAAATTTCCTCCTTTCCCATCTCGCATGCTAGCAATGGCCTGACAGGACAATTCTCATTCAAAAGAAATGCCCTGCATGCTATTAGAAATGGGTCATCTTTATACTATTAACTCTCTGGGTGAGCACAGCATCCGCCTGCAGGCACCTGCTGCAATCCCTCTGCAGCCCTGCACCATCTGGAAGGATAGTGCTGCTACAACTTATCGTGGACATCTTACAACAGACCTTTTGGTTTATGTGTGAGAGGCTTGGGATCTGCTATCCAATGCCTGTGATACTGTTAATGAGAGCAGCACAGAACAGCATACTGCTCAACCTCAGAAATCTCTGTTTATGTGCTGAACTCCAAAGCAATGCGTCATCCTTTAGCATGCCCCTAATCAGACTCCGTAGAGCAGATTGGATCCTCTAGGTAATAATGCAAAGACAAGATTTCAGCTACAATGCTGCAGTTCCCAGGTCTCCTTTTCTCCAAGACCAGAGGGCCACGTGTATCTGCTCTACTCCCTGGAAATACTAGGTTAAAAAAAGCAGCTGGAAGAGGCTGCAGCGCAAGTGACACCATAGCTTTCCAGACGACCAGGGAAATCTGCAGTTTCAAGGAAGTCCACTAGGACCCCTCAGCAAAGCAGCTCACCTCCACAACACGTAATTTCTGGCACAAGACAAAAATGTTTTTTTCTAGAGCTCCTTAAGCAATGAATCCCAGCTGACTGTAAACTGTGCAGTTCTGATTTTAAATGAACCTCAAATTAAATTTTTTTGCCTTACACTTTAAGTTGCACCACAGATCTGTATTCATTTGTTCACTCTTCACAAGGAAAAAATAATCTTAAGCTGCAAATTGTGTTAGTAGATTAATTAACAGTAAAAGCTCAGAGAGGCACTGCGAATCCTGTTTCTCTCCACGAAACTGATGACATCTGTATCTCACTGCTATTCAAGAGACCACCACTGACACCTTCCAAACAAAGTTCTATTTAATGACACATACTCAGCCAATGCAATTAGGAACTTCTGGTACGCTGCACTCTTATGCCTTGATGGCATATTTTCGGACAGGGTACAAACGTTCTTTTCGCTGCTGTTTTTTGGTCTTCAGGTTTTCTTCATGTTTATTTAACCTGCGCCGCATGGCACGAGTCTTCTTTGGCCGCAGATCGAGAGGCTTATACTTTTTGCCCTGTTTTCAAAACATATGAGAGTTGAGGTCAAGAGATGGCAATGCAGGGATCAGAAGCATGAGCACACAGAGAGCCAAGCTGCACATAGACTCACAGCAGCACCTCAAGTTTCTTTTAACTGGAGCTATCTGCTGCAAAACATGAGCTGATACCAACTTCTGTACCAGCTGTATTAACTTTGACTCAGAGAAATTGGTTGTAAGGTTGAACCTTACCTCTTGAAACATTATTTCTCTCCTTTTCCAAACAATCCAAATTCTTAACGAGTAACATTTGGAAAGCAACCAAAAAGCCTTGAGAGAAAGAATCCCTCAGTCGCTTGCAGCATAACCAACACTTAGTTAATAGTATCTGCACTGCAGGAACCGCTCCTTCCAGAAGCAGGCTGTGCCTCACAGGAAGGCTGCTGCAGGCCCCCACTGTGACCGGACAACAGCGACCACTACAGCAGAAGAGCAGACTTACTTTGTAGAACTTCCGCAGGTTCTCCTTCTGAGTCTGATTGATCACGGTCAGGACTCGGGCAATGGACTTACGCACCACGCGGCTGCGAAGGATGACAACAGATCAGCTCAGAGGGGCGGCTGGCGGACATTTCAAACCGGAGCGCCCAGCAGCAGCGCGCCCACGTGACAGCCAGTCTGCATCGCGCCGCTTCCGCCGCCTGGCGCAGCAGCAGCAGCAACAGCAACAGCAACAGCAACAGCAACAGCAGCCCCGGCCCCGCTCCCCCCCCCCCCCCCCCCGGTCCGCTCCCGCACTCACATTTTGGACAGCTTGGAGGCGGCTCCGCCCGTCACCTTGGCCACCCGCAGCTGTGACAGCTCCACCTTGAGGTCGTCCAGCTGCTTCAGCAGCTCCTCTTTCTTCTTCCCCCGCAGGTCTCGGGCCTTGATCTTGGCCTGCGGGCGGCGGGCAGCCCGTCAGCCCCATCCCGAGCCTTCCCCCGCCCCACGGCCCCGCGCCGCCGCCCGCCCTGACCCGTCACCCCCCCACTCCGCAATAGCGGCGATCCCGAGCCCGGTGCCGCGGCGGGAGCGGGTGGGGGCGGCCAAGGGCCCGCGGATGGCAGCGGATAGCAACGGACAGGGCCGCGGCACTCACCATGATGGCGGTTCCGGCGCGGTCCGGGCGGAAAAGGGAAGGGGCTGTGCCGGCGGAGCCCGCGAATAGGCGGGGGGAGGAGGAGGGGCGGCGCGCCGCCACACCCCCTCGGGGACGCGGCCGGAGAAGGCGGGGCGGCGGCGCTTCGGTGCCGGCGCGGTCGCCGTCAGCGCGGAGCCGCCTTTGCGGCTCCGACCGAGGTGCGGCGGTCGTCCCCGGGAGCGGCGGGGACGTGAGGGCGGGGCGCGCGGCGGGATGCGGGGCGGGATGTGGAGCGGCCCGGATGTCTGCGCGCCTCCCCGGCCTCACCGCAGGGTGGCGCTGCCGCGCGCCGGCCGCCTCCCGCCGAACGGGCGGTACCACGGGGAGGGAAGGGCCTCGCGGAGCGACGGCCCGTTCCGCCAATCGGAGGACCGCGCGGCCGCCGGCCCGGCCGTTCGCCCAACGGGAAGGAGCGGGGGCGGGGCGAGGCCGGCCGGGACCGGCGCGAGGCGGCGGCCGCGCTCCGCGCAGCCCGACCCTCGGTGGCCGTGGCGCCGGTGGCCTCGCCCGGGGCGGCGCGGATGGTGAGAGGAGCGGTCCGGCAGCGCCTGCCCCGCTGCGGCCCGGCCTCCAGGTGCGGGGGGCGGAGCGGCGCGGTCGGGGCGGGGCGGGCAAGAACGGGCGGCGCGGAGCGGAGCAGGCCCGGCGGCGGCGCGCCCCTCACCGCTGTGTCGTCCCCGCAGAACTGTCGGCCCGGCGGAGGAGCCCCGCCGAAAGCGGAAGCCCAGGTGAGGCGGCGGGCGGCGGGGCCGCGGGTATCTCCATCATCATCTCCATCATCATCTCCATCACCTCCGTCACCTCTATCATCTCCATCATCTCCATCACCTCCCTTTGGGGCGCCGCGGAGGGGTGGGGGCAGCGGGCTGTGCGTCTGGCAGGGGAGAGCCGCGGCACCGGTGCCACACCGGCGGGGTTAGGCCTCGGTTGGCAAAACGATGGCAGTTGTTTTGACCTGAACTTCCCCGTGCCCACCGCCGCTCCCGCCCCTCCGCAGGGTCCGCCGGGTGCGGCGCGGTTCCGCGATCCCGTCCCCGAGCCGTGGCGGAGCTGTGCCGGTTTGACGCTCCCTGCGGCGGCTCCTCGTCGCCCGTTCCTGCGCCGTACCGTGGCGGCTCGGGGCCACGGGTGCTGCGGAATGCCCTCGCGGCCGGCGGCTGAGCGCGGGTACCGCCGACCCCCGCTGTTAGCGGCTCTGTTACTGCCCGTGTGGGCGCGAACGCTGAAGTCTGCCCTGGAAAAACGTCCGTCGTCGGGTTTTAGGTCTGGCCTCGATCTCTCGCCGCATAGAATAGGACGTGGTTTTGTCTGTCTGAATTATGCTTCTGTAGTGTTATAAAAGGGCTCTGAGCTTATCTCGGCAAAGTAATCCTAGTCCTCTGACCTGCAAAATGGAGCCATTGCCATAGAAAGGCCAGATTTTGCAAGAGCTGCCCAAAGGCAAGCCGTGGATCTCGGTGTCGTGTCTAAGCTGATGCAGAGCAGCACCGCTGGCCCGTGTGATGGTGATGATGCTGGTGTAAGTGAATCTCCCAGCATGCACGTGCTCTCCCACCATTCCCACAAGCGGCACAGCTGCAGCGCTGGGAGCGGTCGTTGGGAATGGTGGGAGACCGACCTGGTGTGGCTGTAGAAGGAGGCAGATGCGGGGCTGTCTGTCACCCTGGGTGAACCTCCTTGCATAACTGCTGTGGCTGCGCTCAGACGGTGCGGGGAGCGATGAGAAGCGAGGAGTGTGGCACCTGGCTGTAATTCATCTCATGGGGAGAAAAGGTGTGTTGTGTGCGAAATGGGTAAGTCGGCCTCTTCTAAGGTTTGTTGATAAACTGAGTTCTATTTTGTTCAGAGAAATGGCGAGTCACTTAATGAGAAGAGAATAATTCTCCATTCAGTCTGAGCTGCTGAAATAATACAGATAGCATACGCAAATGTGATAGCTGGGAGTTTGCTGCAGGATATATAAAAGCTATTCAAGGGAATCAGATGGAGAGAAGAAATATTTGACTGTGCTACACAATTGTCATCGTTGTATGATTTTGAAATGTAGGTACAACACGCAGTCAAAATTCAGTCGACAATCCGTTTCCTTTCCAGGCGTTGGAAGTTTTTCCCACAAAGATGACAAACTGGGGAAAGCCCTTACATATAAGGATGATACAGTTCTGTGTTCTTTGTTTGCCGAGTTCACCTGAGGATCTAAATTTACAAGAGATAAAATGCTGCAAGTATTCACCAATGGAAAGAGTGTACAGCTTGTTTGTGTTATGCACTTCCGTATGACTGTATTATTTGGTGGAAGGAAGTAATAAAATAATGAATGCCAATTCAGAATGTTGGAAATCTTCACAGTCTGAGTGAGTTCTACATTGAGATGTTTTCCATAACGCTGCACTGAAGGCATGGATTTGCTGAGGTGGGGGATGGGGCATCGGAGTCTCTCCCTCCGCTGTGCAGTGCCTGCAGCCCTGGGCTGACTGCGGCCGTCGCACTCCTGTTCTCTGCATCGCTTTGTTCTGGTTTAGCTCTGCTGGCTTTAAATGGAGCTGTTGATAGGCACAGGGTGAATGGGTAGCAGAGATGAATCTGATCATCTGGACACATGACTTTGGTTTGTTTTTTGCTATGGATGGTGTCATTTAGGCAAGAAGAAAGAGTTCTGGTGTGAAAGTGTTTTCTGAGGCGATGTTACTGCCTAAATATTTAAGGCTGGGCTATATTCTTGGAAATAAAAAGAAAGGAGAAAGACAAAATACAACTACCAGTTTTATCACAGAAATCTGTGTGTTGGTGTCTTTTTTTTTCACAGAATTTCCAGAAAATTCAGTTTTCTTTTTACAGAAATGTTTAGTTAGAGCAAGCTTTTTAGGGGAAAAGCCAGGACATCTACATGCAATTTCTGCCCTCGTTTTCTTCAGTCGGTTTGTGTGAAGACGTTCTGCAGGCTTGCCTCTTGCAGCCCGGCTGCTCGTTCTGAGCACATCGGCTCTCTTCTGGATTTGTAGCCTTCAGACGGGCTGGGTACAGGAACGGCGTGTGTTGCAGCAGAAGGAAGCTGTCTGAAGGAGTGGACCGAGTTGCGTGTGGGAGCTGTGTGGAGGGTCAGATGGAGGTCTGGTTCCATGAGGTATGCGAGTCAGCTGCCAACACAAATACTACCTAGCAGCTTACATGCGCTGAGAGAGCGCAGTACAGTCCTGTAACAGGAGCAGAACAGAATAACCGTCGGCCTGGTTCCCTGAGGATATCAGTCAAGAAGGGAAGTGTGCGATGCCAAGAAGCCTGGATGGAACAGCCGGTTCAGAGGACTCCTCGCTTCAAGTACTTTTAATTATTGCTACTACTATAATGGAACACAGACCAGAAGCTGATTTTCTATATAATTAAAGCAGCAGTCAGCAGAGGGATTTCTCTGCTGCCAGGTAATGGTTCAGGAGCAGTCTTTACTCTGGAGAAATTCCCAGTGATGCTCTCTGTACAGTGCCTATGCTTGCTGGCAGCTCACTGCCAAGAATCAGTTTGGAAGGAGGGTAAAAGCGACCTGACCAAAAACCTGTCCCTCGCCTGTGCTGCGTTCTCTGTTGTCAGCATGAGATTCCTGTTGGAAGGCAGCCACCTGCACCTTGGCTGAGAGCGCTGACAAGCTGGAGCATGCAATGACAGCTGCCTGTGGGTTCACATGTTGGCCCAAGCTGCCATTTGGGCTATCTAGCAAATGACTGGCCTTACTGTGAGGAACTCTCCTGATTCTTTGCATCTCATAGCAACAGGTTCCATCATATAGCAACCTTTCAGTTTTGAGCTGGGAGCGTATATAAAAGAGTTAACACATCAGTCCTCTTCTGAGTCAAGGGAAAAAAAACCAGCTATCTTGCAACTCGGATGCTTTTCAGGAACTTGGCCGCTGCAGGCACAAGAGGCATGTGCTTTTCCACACTGCTCTAGGTGATGGCTTAGTTCAAGGGGGCCCAGATTTGGCTCAGTCAACAGTTGTGTTGGCGTCCTGCCATCAGATGTGCATAAAATGGAGCTGGCTGCAGCTCCCTCCTCGCTCTAACATGGAGGGGCAGCCCAGAGGGACCCGGGGCCCCCTATGCCTTGCTGTAGGTTGTCTTGGTTATGAAAGTTAGATGGGGCTGGGCAATTCTTCAGCATGCACTGCTTTATTGTGACTTGATGGTTGCCTTTGAACCCTGGGTTGTATTGGTTTGTGGATGTTTCCAGATGTGTAAGGTTTGTGTTTCATTTGCAGACTGTTCATGTGTGCTCTTAGGGCTTATGTGCATTGCCACAAAATCAAGATAAAACACAACTGGCATTTTAGCTGCTCCAAGCACATTGTGTGTAAATAAACCACTAAATGGTTTAGCTTGTGAAATGTAAATACACACGGCTCAGCCTGCAGCAGCTGATGGTGTTTTTCTCCTTTTCCCTCCCACCCCTGCCAAGAGCAGGCTCGCCTGATCTTTTTTTTCCTACTGCTCTTTCATACAGAGCAAATGACTGCTAAGCACCATGTAGGTGGCGTGCAGGCACCTCTGCAGAGTCACTCTTTGAATTTAGAAATAGGTGCATCCTCCTCCACATTCCTTCTGAACCACTATTTGGGATCCCTGGACTCTGATAGCCCAGAAGCTCTGCCTCGGCCTGACTTTGAGCTTGAGCTCATCTTTGGTCACAAACAAGCCAAGTCAGTGCGAGGGCAGAGGCCCAGCTGGGAGGACATTTTTAGCCTTTGCCCTTTCAACATCCTATACACAAGAGGTTGTGAACTGTAGTGAAAGGGGAATCACAGAGGGCACGGAGAGCACAAGTGTGGAACAGATCGCCACTGGCAAGAACATAAAGGAGAGAAACAAAAATTCTGTGTCATGAAGGTAATTGGAACAGGACAGTCGCACCCCGTGGTGGTGCCCTGTGTAAAAGTGAGCCTGCCCAGAGAGGATTTTGGAAAGCTGCTGCTGGGATGGGGTCTGGATGATCCCTGGATGTGGAGGACAAGCAGGGACAGATTTCTGTCTGTGGTGTGGTATTGGTGAATGGCTCTGTGTTGTTCTGGAGGAACAGCTGCCACAGCTGCAGTTCTGGATACAAACAGGTGTGCTGTAAGCAACAAAAAATGTACAACAAAACCTGATCCAATAGATTAAGCACTTATTTGAAACTAACATCATACGGTTGGCATTGCATTCTCAATATTCAGATTTGTTTGTGCCAGAGCAGAGCAGAATTCGGAGCGTTGGCTGTGTCCCTGCTGGGCGTCCTGAGGCTCCTGCTGACAGTGGGCGAGGGTGAAGCTGGGCCGGGCTGGTGTGCAGGATGGGACCTCGGGTTGGTAGCGCTTGCTGTCGTGTCACGTCAGGACTCGCACTGAGCAGATGACATGGAGACACACAGTTGGTTTGCCCAAAACATGCACTGTGGCTCTGGAAGAAAACACGAGAGCTGAGAATGCCCGTCTGTAGAAGGAAAGAGAGGCAAACAGCAAATGTAGATGTGTTGCTTGACAAAGGCAAGTGCTGTGAACTAAGATACTCTTATTTCTCCAGGCCAATGATGGCAGTGTGACACTGGTCCATCCATCATAGAACAGCAACTTCTTTTTGTTTGATTTTCCTTTGAGGGTGACGTGGGAAAGAATGTTGGCATAATGCAGAGGCAGTGATTTTTTTTTTCCTTTTGATGGGTGTTGCTGTCCTGCTATTTGTATTCATTGCAAGCAATGAAACTCCAGATCGGCAAGATTTTGGGAGATGTCATTCATGTGACAGGCACTGCCTTGTGTTACATCTGTCACAGAAATACGAGTTCTGGTACTCAGGTTAGAGGCTGATCAGCACAGCCAACCCCAACCCAATCTCGTTCACTGCTTGGTTTTCTCTTTGCAGTCATCAGGTAGGTGGGTGATAAACACAGGAGCAGTGCTTTTGCCAAAGAAGAGATTATTTTCCTTTCCCTCCTATTCCCCTTCCCAGCATCAAGCGTCCTGGGTCGTATTAGGCTTGCATTCACTGTCCTGAAGGTTGTGTGTGGGTTATTTAAGGGACAGAGCTGAAAGCTCAGTGATGAAAACAACTGGAGCTTGAAATAAAATACGAATCCTTGTTCTAATTTTAGATGAGAAGCCTCACTGGGTCACACTGATTACTTCTCCAGATAATAATACATTTGTTTATCTGCATAGTGTGAACATTTAACATCTCAACTTTATCTATGAGAGGCTGGAACTCCACAGAGAGAGTATTTGCAAAGTGCACAAAATCACCTGCTACACATGTGAGGTATTCTGCTTTCTGGCAGGGTTGCTTCTGAAATATCTATTCATGCCTATGGTTAGGAAATCGTAAGGTTGCTTATGGAAGCGATGGCTTGAAGTACAAATGTCTAAAATTCGAAGTTCTGGTTTGAAGTCAGACAGTTTGCTTGTCACACAGGTGAAGTATCAGAGCTCCGTATCGCTTACGTTCAGTGCTGTGTGCTTTCATTGCTTTGTTAAAGGGCAGAGCAAATGTGTAGCAAATGTCTGTATAAGTATTGCTCACCTCTTGCAGTACAAGATGAGAGTTCGGTGTTGATCTCTAGTGAGAGGAATGTGGTTTTCGATTGACCATTTCAGTGAAGTAGAGAAAGCACTAATAGGTACTCACAGCTTTTGTCCCCTAACTTTCATATGATGTGGCTGTCCTGGCTGACTGGAAGGCAGAACTCGTGGTTCCGCTGCTGAGCAGGAGCTGTGGCTTAGCAAAGGAGAGGCTGTACAAAGGCTGTCAGGAGCTGAGGGACCATGTCCAGCCAGCTCTGCTTATGTAGCTGTAGCCCCTTGTTTGCATGCACAGAGGTGACATGCTCCTCAGCTTCCATCTGTACCGAATGCCATGCAGCTGTGGGATCACTAATTTTTCTATGGAATGAGGTTCTGTCTCCTTGTAAGTGTCAGTGGATAAGCTGTGACCACCCTCTTCAGCAGACAGCTGAATTGCAGGCATAGTAATCCTGGCTGAGTAATACATCTGGCTAAGGAGATGTGCATGTAATACAGTTATTTAACATATCTGTGCTTGGCTTTCATTGTTAGCGTGATTTATTTCAGCTAGGGTGTTCTTTCACCATTCACAAAGCATGCCTTGCTTTGCAGGCTTGAGCCTGAGTACCAGGCTGGTTGGGAGTGCTTGTCTTTGACTTGAGCAGTCTTTTTCCCTTCCAACTGAGCCTGGAAAACTTTAGCCAAAGGACAGCAAACCACAGGGAAGTGGAAACGTGTGTGATGTAAGTGACACATAACTTAAAAAAAATAAAGTAAATACTTGCTAGCGTCGTGAAGCTTTCATCCATTTCCCACACAAGCCTTCCTGTTGCCTTTCAGCTCCAACTTCTCTGTGAAATCTGGGCATCCTCTGGGTGCCTGCAAGCCCTTCTGCCCTGCACGCTGCAGTGGAGTGAACACGACCTCTTGGATAAAGATGGATGCTCTTCTAACATTTTAAGTGGCATTAGGGGTAGTGCTGGGGATTGTATGGTGCTTCGTGTCATTCTCTGCCTCTTACTCCTAATCCTGGCTTTATAATACCACTTTTTAGTCTAAACTCAAGTTTCTGGTTGCCTTAATACAATGTGTGGCATTTTTTTTCTTTCCTGAACCTGTGTATAGAGGAGTAAAATGAAAGTGGTAGTGGAATATCTCCATGGCATACTAATTTTTCAAGGGGTCTGCAGTGTCAGAATGGGCTTACATGTGGTTTGTTTCCTAGATCCCTGCAGCAGAAGTCTCTGACAAGAGGACAGGTTGTTCTCTCTGCTTTTCATAATTTTTTCCAACGAACAGAAAAGGTACTTTGGCCCTCTGCTTCATGGATAGGCTCAGATCCTCATACTGATTGTCACATCATGAAGCTGAATAATCTCCAAAATGTTTTATATTCAGCTATTCAGCTGACTGATCTCTGTTTTCGTTTTGTTCCACACCCCCCCCCCCCCGTTCTTCTGACTTCCCACAAATTAGCATTGTGCTAAATAATTAGGAACTGTCTGGGCTTGGCACAGACTTTTGAAGTACATCTTAACTGCCTACAATCCAAAAAGTCTTTCTTTTTTCCCTTAATTCAATCATTCTCATTTTTTGTTCTTTCCCAGCTTTTTATGGTTTCTCTGCAAGAATTTTCTTCTGTCTCCTGATACCTTTTAAAGCAGCAGGCAGTGAATTCTCTGGCTTACCTGTTATTGATTGCAGAAACAGCCTTATTTGCAGAGGGTCTGATGGATTCTGAGACGTGCAGTTGGTTTTACTTGCCTGCTCCTGGGCCAGCAGAGTCAGGTGGCCAGCGTTGGCAAGAGTTGTGGCAGATGAATAGTGTAATTTAAAGCAGCATAAGATGAAATGGACTGTGCCATCGAATTAAATTTTGGGAATGGTATATTGACTGTATGAAATGTGCTTTGCAACTTACGCAAATCCCTCAATTGTTAAAAATGTATCTGAAGTTACTCTAGAGTGTCTGACCCGCCCCAGAGGAGCGCTGCGGAACCAAGGGCCTCGCCGCAGGATTTAGCTCCAGCTTGCTGCCGAGCACGTGGGACCTGGGGTACTGTCTGTCCTCCTGAAACTCCTAAATCACCTCCTGGCCACTTCTGACCTCTGTTTGTCAGCTCCCCTGTTCCCCTCAGTTTCCTGTGTTGGTTCTCCCAGTTCTTACTGTTGTGTGTTTCATGCTGTGTGACCATAAGTGCTTAGAGATTTCAGATGCCGGCTGGTGCTTCACAATATTCATGTTCAGCTTTGCTGGACTTGTACCAACAGGTTTTGACGTCTTGTTGGTGTGTTTTGAACTCCTGCATTGGCACCTGTGTTGCAGTTACCTGCAGAGATGCTTGCTACGTTTTTCTGGAGCTCTTCAGCAAGCACTTTGTGCAGCACACCCAATGCTCTTGCAGTAATGCTGCACTCCATGATCACGTAGGTGTTTAAAACCAAATGAATGTGTGCTGCATCTTGTCTGACCTAGAGAATTGTGGCAGCACATACTTGCTAACTTCCCCAGAGCAGCTGGAAACCACTGATTTCTTCTGCTTTTGGTGGGAATGAAATGCTCTGAGCTCTCTCTTAAGTCTGCCTAGTTGTTGAGAAGGTTTATCATTACAACTTGATGGAAGATGCTTTCCACTGACTGTAAGGAGTTAGCTGTGCTATTTTCTGGCTTGAATTGGGACTTTGGGGTAATTATTTATGCTAGCAAGGTCCAAACAGAGCCTTTGCACAAGTTGGAAACTTATTTAATAGAAGTGCTTACCAATCCGGTAGAGAAGTTGCTGGAGGTAAAAGCTCTGCATTGGCCCCTTGAGGTTGTGTTTTAACTTGCACCAAAATTCTTTGAGAGCACAGAAGAGCCAAAGACCTGGCAGCAGTTTTAAACTGCTGCTTTTGAGATGCGTGTGGCTTACTTTTGGCTGTTAGAAAGGATAATCTTCTGTGCATGCATGTTGTAAGTCAGACTATAAAAGCCATTCTGTCCAATTGTGCTACGTTATACCAATAACAGCTAACAAACTTTGCAAACCATAAACAAAGTTTTCAACAGTCCCAGAAAGGAAGTGAAATGTTAACAGAAGTGGGACTAGTGCCTAGATACAGCAGGGGATAAACACCTCTGCAGAAAGGCAAATTTAGAGAATATGTCTCTATTTATGTATGAAGTGTTGTTCATGCTAATATCCTTTTATTGGCAGTTTTGTGTTTGTGAGTACAGTCCTCAGTTTCTTTATTTTATGACTCTTGTGCCATTTTACATTTTGCTTTGTTATCTATTGCATTGTGCAGTAATTAGTCCCATGCTTTGGCTCTCAGCTGTTAAAGACTCTTCAGAAGAGTAACCTGTGGGGGAATTGCATGCTTGTTGTCACCATCCCTGTGGAACATGCATGCAATCTGGATGAATTCACAGTAGCCCTCAATTACTGAGTAATGTTCTGTTTTCTTCTTCATAGGACTGAGTTTGCCCTAAAACAAATCATGTCATCAGGAGGAGCTGAAGATGATATTCCCCAAGCAGAGAGGAAAACAGTTACGGATTTTTGCTACTTGCTGGATAAATCTAAACAGCTATTCAATGGCCTAAGGTTAGTGCATGTTATCAGAATTGCTTCAGAAAAGCACTGGAATGTGTGTTTGAGCATGTGAGTGATGCTGAATATATAACTAGCATTTTAAACTCAAAACCAGGAAGTTTGTTCAGCAGAGAGCAGTTTGCGCTTCTGTATGGGTAATTTTGGACCAGATACGTGAGAATGTCTGTAGGAGTAGAGATTCATGCACTTCTCCTGAGATGGTAGGGAAGATGTGAGAAATGTGAGTTAAATGTCTCAGTCATGTCAGTTGGCAGTAAGCTAGAAGTTGTGAATTCCGTGAAATTGTAGAATTAATGTTTGAAACACCTGATTGAGGACCAGATGTTACTGTACAGCATAAGCTGCATGCAACTGCAAAAGGCAGTACCACAGAAACCCCATCTCTGTGCCAGGATGAGGAGGACTGGCTTAGGTGGGAGGGGAAGTGGCCAGGGATATTTTTTTTGAAGGCAATTTAGAAAGTGATAAACAGCAACGTCCAAATTTTAGTCTATATTGTCTGTGTCTGGTGAAACAGGTGTTTAATATAGACTGTGGGGAAAGGTAACATCTGCCATTGTCTTTAAAGCATTTTTAAGGTAAGTCTATCTGTTTTGTCAGCACCAATAAGAAAGGGAATAAGAGAAAGAGGAGTTTAAGGAAAATAATTCCAATTAGAAACAGTGATACAGGTTTCCTGTTTATGTCAATGTATGCTGAGTTAAAGATTATGTTTCCAAGAGCTGTTCTATTTCTGAGTTTTGCTGTAGAGTCTCTTAAGCAACATGCTTTTTAGCTCATATCTTGTTGGCAGTTCAACCTCTTACTGGTCTCTGAGTAATACTGTGTGTTTGGCCCATACAGCTTGCTGTTATTCAAACACAGATGGTTAGCAAAGATGTCCCCCTCTCCCCAAAGATTGATCATGTTTTTCATGTGGTTTAAAGGTTGATTACCAAATCCAGAATACTTTATGGTCCAAAATCTGGAAGGTGAGTGTGCAGTAGAGGCAAGGAGTTCTGGTGATTGCATTCAGCGCTGTATGAAACAGGCAGTAGTGCAACAGGACTGATATCTTGAGGCCAGGGTTTCCAGTGCCTTACATTGACTTTCTGATGCAGCTGGCTTGAAATTTTGACCTGAGTCACTGAAGAGTACAGATTAATACTGTCTTTGTCTGGATGTGTGATGCTCAAGCTTAGATCACAGAGATGGCAGAATACCTTCAGTCATTCTGGCTTTCATTTTTGGAGGAAAGCAGAGCTTCTATCGGATTTTCAGATGAGAGATAGTTTCCACGTGCATCCATGATATTTCAACAAAATGAAACGTTATCCAGCTAGATGAAAAGAAGATGGAAAATACCTTTGGTGGAATTTGGGCAATAAAAAAATAGAGATGAGCCTCAACAGCCAGCTCCGTTGAGTGAAAAGGAGAATGTACCTCTGTCCTTGCTGTAACTTAATGCAATTAATGTAGTTCTTTCTTGCACTGAACTGAACCACCTACAAGTTTTACCAACAAGGCCATAGATTCTTGTGTCCATAATAGTGGGTTCAAGTGACATTATAGTCTTCAGGCATCTCCTCTGTTACTGCTTGTTCTCTTCTGGTTAGTTCTACCTAGAAGGGACTTGGCATGACCCTGACTGTTGGCCCAGTTGCTTGCTTTTTGCTTGCGTAATAAATAGATTGACACCTGCCTGCCTCCTTCATTTTGGAAGATGATTATGGCCTTCATTGCTGTATTTTATGGCATTCTCTTGTCTCTAATATCATAGAATCATAATATGGAATATGTTTCATGGGGGGAGGAAAAAATAAGGTGATGACGGAAAGACAGGAGAGCAGTGACTTCCTGAAATCTCCTCTGGGCACTTCAGCTACAGGGAACTGAGCCTATAGCTGTGTTGGCAGCTGCTTAACTATTGCTGCTGCCAAAAATGCAAGGGCTCAGCCTGCCACGTCTTTGTTTCAGTAGCATTTCCTTCCTCTCTTCCCACTACAGATGCCAAATACAGCATTTGAGGAAAACATATGATGATCTGCCAAGAGTGCTGCTCTGAAGTGTACTTGATGCTCACACTGCCATCCTTTTGTGGTTGTACCTACCAGAGCAACTTAGAATAGAGTTGCTAGAGTCTTTCTAGTATCTGTACTTGTTTTTGAACACCCTGAGCTGTAAGTTCTGAGCGAGTCAATGAAGTATGTGCCAGTTTCTCTTTTCCCTCCTCTTCCCACTCCCACTTGTTCTTCTCTTGGAAAAATACTGAGGAGAGGAAGCACGTTAGGAAGCAGCTTCTTATGGCGTACTGTCATCAGTTACGATTTTCTTGCTTAAGATGCTGTCTATGCTTAAGGTTTTCCAGTATCACATGGAAGCTTAAAGGCTAAATAAGAGGATGTTCCACATATATTGTACTTTCCTATATTAAGGGTCTTGTTACTCATAATGCTGAACTGCGAGAACTGTGACTGCTCTCCTTTCATGGAAAGAGCTGGTAGTGTTTAACTGTTAATTTCTCCGACTTCTAGTAAGATGCAAATTGAACCGTAGTTTTATGAGATACTGCTGGTTTAGAAACAACAGGGCCCTCTTAGCTTCAGGTACTGCAGCAGGCTGTAGCCCTGTCTCTTGCTGAGAGGCTTCACACAGCGATGGCAGGTGAGGCTGGATACTGTGTTCCTGGTGTGCTCACTGTCCTTGTGGGTCAGGGGGAAGGGAGAAGCTATGCAGAAAGCCTGTTATCGCAGTAGTGCTTAGGCTCCTGAAGCAGGAGCTCCTTGGACTACCGTTCTCACCCAGTAAGGCAGATTCTCTGGTCTGATTAAAGAAACTGTGCACTACATGTCTTCGCTCACTTATGCTGGCTGCTTTCTCATGGCAAGGTTTTGTGGTAGGTGGGAGCAACACGAGAACACAAAACGGCAAACGGGAGCGAAAATGGGTGGTGGCAATGGCAGGGCTTATCTGCAAAAATCTGTGAGGGAGCCATGGTAATGTATTGTCATAAATGAAGTTTTATTACAGCCATGTCAGAATACTATCAAAAGAACAAGTGCGACTGACTGTTTCCATGGAGATCTTCCCTGTTCCCTGGGGAGCGCAGGGATCGCATGGCACTGTGCAGCTATGCCAGCTGCAATTAGGAGAGCGTGCAGCTTGAGCAATATACATGTGGACACCCAGCAGTGACCGTGGACATCAATGGCCAGGCACGTGCGTGCTGCATAACAGAGGCTTTTTAGAATGCCACTATTTTCTTGTATTCCCACCCAATGCAGTGCAGTGAGTTGAACGAGGTTTCATAGGAATGCTTAGGCTTGTGCAGGGGGAGGGGCAGAACTGAGAGGTGACTGTCATGCAATAGAAGATGCCAGGTGAGATGCAGAGACCATTTTAGATTACTGATGAGGGGCATATACATAACAATCATCCACAAACAGCTGTCTGTCTCTTAGTTTGTGCACACACTTCTCAGTATTTGAGAGAGGAAGAGTGGCAAGTATGATTGGCTGATGTACAAAGGAGCGTTAATTTCCTTTTCTACCTGGGGTGCTGTTAAAGCAATTGTAGTTAGCAGAAAGACACCAGCACACTGCTCTGGAAACTGTGGTATAGTGCTTTGCCTGTTTGACTCCTCTAGATGTCATGGCATGATTTCCAAAATGTAGTGATTTGCTGCAGCTTGGATAGCCCAGGCTTGGAGGTGCAGCCTTTGCAGGCAGGTCTGCTGCAGGAAGGGTGAGATGCTGAGTGGTGTGCTAACCATCACAGTGATTTGAGAGAGCATTCCCTGAATGAGTAATTCTTGAATTAAATGACATACTTTGCCGTGTTGGAAATGCAGTTCCAGTTCCACGTCTGCTTGTATGCCTCCTCTGAATCAACTTCAGTACAGATTTGTAAGCATCATGAATTCAGTGAGACTGACAGTCTTCATTCTTCTCGGTTGTGTTTGTTCCAAGGCCCAAACAACTCTCAGATGAAGGCCTTCTGCTAGGGTTGAGAGTATGTACCTTTAAAGCTAAAATCCTTGGGACTGTATCACAGTTGTAGGGCGAAGGTGGAGGAAAATATATCACAGCATGGAAATTAAATGACTTAATGAAAGGAGAATGGAAGTGGCTTGACTAACTTGCTTTATGGCACTGGAAATCAATAATGAAAAAGACACATGTCTCAGGTTCCACCCTGTTGCTAACTCTGGGTTAAGGGGTGACAAATATTACCCTGATGGTGTAACCTGATCCAGTGAATGTTGGCTGCATGCATCTACATTGCTTGCTTGGCCTGATGATGCTTGGACAGCTGATTTACACATGTTTTATAGGGCTGTTTCTGAAACAGTGAGCAGCCATTTTGTTTAAAAAAGATTATTTCCTGAGTGAGTAGAAAGAAATATCATCAATCTAAATTAGTCCAAAGGAACTAATTGCCATTATATTATTGCTCGCTTGCTTGCTTCCAGGTATGTATTTCTTATTGTGTTGTTGGTTTTTTTTTTAAATGATCATATTTTATGGGCCCAGTTTAGCTTTCTGTACATAAAAACAATGAAATTACTTCTCTTGTTGCAGGGATTTACCTCAGTATGGGCAGAAGCAGTGGCAATCCTATTTTGGGCGAACGTTTGATGTTTACACCAAACTCTGGAAGTTTCAACAGCAGCATCGGTAAGGGAATGTTGTGGGCAGCTCTGTTCTATGAATTTAAAGGCAACTTTAATCTCTGGCATTACGGTACGCCAGGGGCCCCCATTAAGATTGAAATTTCATTGTGTCATTCAAGCATGAAGGGAGGGAATAGTCACTTCCTGTGGTGCTCACAGTCTAATGAATTAAAATGTTACAGCGTTTTCAGTGCAACTTTTGTTTTTTGTAAAACAGAACCTTTTGCTCTACTTGAATGCATGCTGCTTTAATGTATTGCCAAGAAGAAGCTGGGGTGATGGCTTCTGCAGTGCAGAACCTATCTGGAGTGGTGTGAAGTGTCTTGCTGCAGTGTGGGCTCTGATCTTTCACACCTCATGTTGGCTGTGTAGTTGAGTGTTCTGGGATTTGGTGACTTTTTTGTTTCGTGTATTTCATGCAACATACTTATGTCTAGCTCTCACAAGTTTTTTTGCAACCTAAATGGCCATGTTCTGGTGTGCATATGCAATGCTATTGGCTCTGTGAGGAACTGCTTTTGGGAATACCACACCAGTAACAAAAGCTGAATTTGGCCCTACAGCGGCTCTTTGTCTTGTCTGGTGTGATGATCTGAGAAATTCTGGAATGCCTTTTAATCTTTCTTTTCTCTCTTGCGAAATAGACAAGTATTGGACAATCGGTATGGGTTGAAGCGGTGGCAAATTGGGGAAATTGCTTCCAAGATTGGGCAGCTCTATTACCATTATTAGTAAGTAAGCACAGAAAAGGATTCAGTAGGGAAATGCAGTGTTAGTGGCAGTTCCGTGCTCATTATGTGCATACTCAGTCAGGGGCATGCTGAGGTAGAAACGAATGTCAGTTGAGTCATGAGCTCTGAACGAGAGGCACTTGGGGCTGCATGGGGGTGCTGCAGAGAAAGGCACCTTTGAGCCTGCTATGATATTCCTAGAGTCACATCAATACTGCCTAAGGACTTACCTCCCACCTCCAAGGTGTCTAAGTCTTCCACGTGTGCTGCATGTGGCTCTTGTGCAAAAGTGTGATGTACAAGTTTGGGAGCTTAATGTACCTTTAAACTCTTGAATTAACCTGTCACCTGTTCCTATGGGCACAAGATGGGCAGATTTTATTGTTATCGGAGAGTGAATTCAAGCTCTGAAATCTGTCTTCCCAGCATACAGTGAGTCTGGCTTACATTAAAAGTTACTTGAAGAGAGAGTTTTGCCATTGATGCACAAAAAGGTTAAGGGGGCAGGAAGGGAGGGTTTGGCACGGGTTTGCATCTGAAGCCCTGAGCTAATCTGATTCTTCCTCTACAGCTTGCGCACTTCTGAAACCAGCTATCTCAATGAAGCTTTCTCCTTCTATTCCGCGATCAGGCAGAGGTCATACTACTCCCAGGTTAACAAGGAAGACAGGTATATCTGAATGGATGCCCTTCTTTTTTTCTTTCCTAAGACCAGAATAGTTTATGTAAGTAGCAAGTAATTTGGAACATAGGATCATAACTGAGATGAAGTCAGTGTTGTTGGAGGAAGTTTCTTTTTTAACCCTTTTGCCATGATTAAATACCTTAGTATAAATAAGAGCTTTACAGGAAGACTGGAGGAACATTCTTATGTGGCCCTAGCTAGAAAGTTATTAGCCCCAAATTTCTGACATCTTGAGTCCCACTCAGTTGTGGTGCTGGGACCTGGTATGCTGCGTTGTATGCTTTGCCTACCTGTGTTGTATTCTGATCTCTAATTTCTCTATGGTATTTTTCAGGCCTGAATTAGTGGTTAAGAAGCTGCGTTACTATGCAAGGTTTATAGTGGTTTGTCTCTTGCTCAACAAAATGGATGTTGTAAAGGACCTTGTAAAGGTATGTTAAAATGAGGGTAACGGTGATAAGAGTGGGAGGTCATTGGTTTTTTCAGGGCTTTTCTCCTAATTCAGAACTCAGTAACGTAGTCTGTTTAACCTTAAATATCACTAATTAGATCTATGATATTTGATAGTGCTGCTGTGTAGCTTTTCCTTTTTAATTTCTTTTGATTGTGAATTTGGGTGCCACAGAAGGAAATGGTAATATGGATAGAACTGTGAAAAGATATCAGTATGACACGAACATTTGGTTCAAGAAGATGTAGTTGAAAATAAACTGTAAGATCCACGTTATTGATCTGAAAGTGTTGGAATCGTACAGTGACTGTGAACACCTCTTCATTCCTGTGATTGAAGACATTGATGAAGTCTCCCCCAGGAAGTCTTCGTGACACTTCATTGCTGTGAAAGCCCATGTCTCCAAGTTTGATGCTGAACTTATTTCTCTTCCCTTCCAAACTGCCATCACTCTGTCCCATGTCTAGGGTACATTCTGAATATATTTTGCACCTCCCAAAGACCCATCAGAATGAAGCCTTGCTAAAGGATATAAACGTTACCATGAAATTAGAGAGGCTGGATCTGCATATGCCATTGCTATGGGAATAAAGTATTGAATAATTGTAAACTCAAGTCTTTGTACTGACCAGTGCTGGTCTTTATAATATATATGACATCCAACACAGTGAATATCTTCTGTGAATCAGACATTTGATCAAACACTTGGTGTTTGAATAATTTGATAGTATTATTTGAACGCCAAGTGAAATATTCCAGTAGTTACTGCTGAGATTGAGAGCTACCCTTTAGTTGCCCTGAAGGAACAGTGTGCTTCTCCTAACAGTATATGGCTCCCAAACCCCTCTGACAACCTTGCTGCAAGCAGCTTCTGGTTTTGACAGTTTTGTGCAGTTGCATTACTGTCTTTTTGTCTAAGCTCACTTGAATTAGTAGCAGCAATTAAAAAAAGCCACACAGTTCACTTTCGTAATGTATTTGAAGTTGTTTGTGAGATTAAATTTGAATCCTTGTTGTCCATAGGTTAAGGGAAAAACAAGCAACAAGGCTGTATGTGAATGTGATAGTTACACTTGAGACATTCCAGACACTGAGACCTGCTGAAAAGTAACTTGGCATTGCTGAAACCCACTGCAGCATTGGCACTTTGTCTCCTGAGGGAGCTTGTTTTGGCTGGTGTGTTAGTCATAAGTGTGCTGCATCTGTTCTTGAGTAAAGTGACTCTTCTTCCATTCTTAAAGGCCAGCACAGCTAAGCACATTGTGAAGTTAGTGACAGTTAAGCTTTCAGTTTAGGAAGTAACTGAGCATTTGAACTTCTTAAATTAGGAGCTTTCAGATGAGATTGAAGACTACACTCATCGTTTTAATACTGAAGATCAGGTGGAGTGGAACCTGGTTCTTCAGGAAGTGGCAGCTTTTATTGAGGTGAGAATACCATTACTTTCTGTCAGTTTAAGGTAAATTTTTCTGACTTCTTCACCAAAGTGTTCCTGTGTCACCACCTCTGTGCTAAGCAGGTGTGCCACGTGGAAGGACTGTGTTGTTGCCCAATTAAATCATTGAAATGTGTTTACAGTAGTGTAGCAGTGACAGCTGTTCAAGTGCCTAAAAAGTCAGACCTGGTCATACAATGTAGTGAAGGCAGAATTGTGAAGCTGAGACACGCTCAGTCACCTTTTTATTTCTGCTGCTGTGGAAGCCATTCCTATTTGCTCAAGGTTTTTCTTGTGCTCCAAGGTTCACTTTGATTGTTGGAGTGCCTTTCCTTAGTGGCTTTCATACAAACGTGGCAAACTAATTTTTAAAATCTGCATTATTTTTGAAAAGTTTGTGACTGAGAAGACGCTGTCTTCTCTATGTACACTGAATGCAAACCTGTGTGCTCTGCTGAATTCCTAATTTGTTCTGGTTACCTTTTTAGGCAGACCCTGTAATGGTTTTAAATGACGACAACACCATTGTAATCACCTCCAACAGGCTTTCTGAAACTGGAGCTCCATTGCTGGAGCAGGGAATGATAGTGGGACAGCTTGCTCTTGCAGATGCACTGATTATTGGGAACTGCAATAACCAGGTAAAAGTAATAATGAAGTCTTAACTTGTACTGTTACAGCTCAAATTCTCTCCCTCTCAGCAATATCTCTTAATCACGCAGCAGAATATTTAGATTATTGCAGTAGAGGCTAGATACAATTGATTTTTCATATAAGAGATTGTTCTTAGCAGTGTTCGTGCTTGAAGGGTCTCAACGGGACGTTTTGTTCCAGCTGCAGTTGCAACAGGAAAGGGCTTTCACGAGATTTTCAAAGGCTTGTTTTTTAGATGATGATGGTGGTGAAACTATGCAGACTTTGTTATCTCTGAACTCTTTTTACAGTAAACAGCAGAGCTGAATGTAAACTAGAGTTTGTGTATCTTCCAAATAGTGTCTAAATACAGAGTACATGGGGTATTCCATCACATGATTTGTGAACAAGTCAGAAAAGTCTAATTTGTGAATGTGGTAAACTGGGCTGGTAGAGCTGTAGTAAATAGACTTCGCCCTGTATGAGCTCAAAGTCATTCACAGACTTTTGAGATTCAGAGATATATTGACAGAAAGTGGTGCGTGGGATGTAGTTGAGACTCTTGGATAATTCCAAAGAAAAACAGACTACTTCAGCTGTATCTGACAGAGCAAACCGTTTGTCTCCTTTCGCAGGTGAAGTTCAGTGAATTGACAGTTGATATGTTCCGAATGCTACAAGCACTTGAAAGGGAACCAATGAATTTAGCTTCGCAGATGAACAAACCTGGAATGCAGGTGAGTTTTGTTTCAGTGACAAACTTAGCAGCAGGTTTTAACAGCTTGGGGGAGGGGAAGAAGAAAAGAAACTATCTGTACTGTCACTGTGCAGAGCCAGTTAGGAAGGCTGATGTAGCTCTTACCTGAAGTTGATGGAGGGTAGCTCAAATCTGTGGAGTTTGACTCAAGTAATGTATCAAACACATTACCTTTGGTTTTGTTTTCTTGGGGAAAAAATGTCAATAGTGGGTAAATTATTAGAAGTGAACAGTTGGACATAATTTCACAAGTGGTTTACAGTGGTGTAGCCTGGGTACTTCTGAAGGAGTGTCTGTCCTTGTCCACGTATGGTCACCCATTGCTTTGCTTTCACTGGCAGTCATGGAGCCACGTAAGTTCATCATCTTGCTAATTGATATCAAAGTTAAATATCCCCTTCTGTGAAAGCAAAACAACCCACCCGACTTTATCTGTAGGTAAAAAGAAATAGCTAGATTTTAATTTTTTAATTTAGACAGGGAACTTGTTTTCCACTGTTATTGTGGATTGTGCTTTAGAGAGGATGTTGTAGATAACAGAGTGAGGGATCATGTGAAGTTCTGCTGCTAATACTTCACATCATACTTTACTGTATAGGAAATGCTGCATGGGCAAGCCATTTCAGTGGGAAATACGTTGAAAGTAAACATTGTAATAAGCAGAAATTTAGAGGGTAATGAAGCTGCTTTGTAAATATAAAGTTATTTTTAAAATTTATTTGTTTTTCAATAGGAGTCAACAGAGAAACCAGCCAGGCGAGAAAACCCTCATAAATACCTGCTTTATAAACCAACTTTTAGCCAGCTGTACACATTTTTAGCAGCATCATTTAAGGTTTGTGAAATCAGTGAATTTTGGTCCCCCACTTGCTCAGCCTTTTGCAGAATTTAAAAGCTTCTGCTTTGTCATATGGACTGTCCTTAGATGGGATGAAAAGAGGCTTATTTTGCAAGTCTGCGTGGGAGCCTGGATGTGTTGCTTTTGTTGTTCAGCTGGGAATTCAGGGGAGAGGCAGGTGTTACACACACTGGAGTATTTAGACATAAAAAAAAATTCCTGTCAGAATGTAAATAGTTTGGGAGTTAGCTCACATGCATCCTGAAAGCTTGGGGTTTCCATATCTTGGAAAGCCTCAGTTCTGGGTTGTTTAGTAACAGGTTCTATGTGGAAGCAAATCTTATTTTTTTTTAAACTGCTGTTTGAACTTCTAAGGTCAGCCTACAGGTCTGCATGGAAACGAACAAACAAACACAACAGTATTGATATCATTGCTTTACATTTTTGTCTGTATGCTCACCTGCTTAAAGGGGTGCACGTGGTGGGGAGTGGTATGTACTCCTAAGAAGAAAAGCATGAAGGACAGCTGGGAGTGGGAGCAGCACGTTCTTCAATGATAATGCTTTTATTAATCTAATGGTTGAGTGTTTTGCGTTTCTCCCCTTGCCACTCTTCTGTCTGTGAATTTCAGGAGCTGCCTGCAAACAGCGTGCTGCTGATCTACCTGTCTGCCACGGGCGTGTTCCCATCAGGTCGTTCGGATAGTGAAGGTACAATAAAGGAATGCTCCCTGTCATGAACAGGGCTTGAATTCTCTTTGTGTTCCAGGACAAGTGATCAAGAAAGATGTCACAAAGCTCCTTGTAAAAGACAAGTTGATTTTATTCTACTGTTTACTTAGATAAGTCTTTTCTTTGCACAAGCAGTAGATAATTCTCTGTGTTTAAATTAGTGTGCATTAACCTGGGGCCTTTTTAAAGGACATTGCCAGTTTTTGATGCATCTGAAGTATCAAAAGTTTTACCAATTTTGAAGACCACATGGCTCAAAGGATGCATCCATGCAAACGTTATAAAATAGCTAACTGGCACTTTGTGATTCTTTCAAATCTCTAGTACTGTGAGAGCGTACAGTCAGGATGGGTGCTAAAAGGGCTGAAGTGTCTGCACGGACTGTTCTATTTGCATACTTGTTAATGTGACAATTCAAGCCTTTTCATGATTTTTTGACTATTCCCCTCACCTCATCCTCCTGTTCTTTGGAATTTAGCAGAACATTTGGATGGAGCTGCAGTGTAAAAGCTGAAAATTAGTTGGCTGAAGCAAACACAGTCAAAAGATCCACTTATATTTTTATAATTTAAGGAAAAAAGTGTTTTTAACATCCTAAATATTGTACACACCTCATCTGATTGAGACTTGCATTCCTTTATGAGATGCATGCCTTGTCCGTTCCCATGCATGATTTATAGATCTCTCAAAATGTTAAAGGTTAAAAAAAAAAATCCCTGTCAAATTTTGATTGTGGCAGTGATTTTTTTTTAAATGTTTTTAACATTTTACTTTTTGCTATGACTGTTGGTGGGTTCTAGCTGATCTGTTCTATTCAGCTTGTGTTATGTTCACTTCACTGCATGTGTTATTTCAGTTCAGTACTTTACCATTTACTTTGCCATTAGAGCTCTGTTTTCTGAAAAGCTGCATAATCAGACTTAATTTTTTATGAAATGAATCTCATTACAACTGCATTCTTTTAATAAGGTGATGCAGTCTGCATGGACCCCCCAAAAAGTTCCACCTTATTAAAAGAGAGAGCAGTGCAAGTTGCACTGTCAGTTGCCTGTAAGCCATTTGTTCTTGACAGGTCACATGTGAGACATTTCTAACAGTGCTAAATTAATGTATGTTCTGTTCCTAGTTTTGTAGCCCCAGAGTTTCCTTTGAAATGGAAAAGTGTCCTATGCAGCCAATCCTGAAAAGGTTGCAGTTGGTGGCCAAATGTGAGTCGACCAACTCTGCAACTGTATAGCAGTATTAGGAAACTCTAATACTGTCTTGAACCAAAGTTAGTGATGCTTCATACTCATATCAATGGCAGAAATATTTCTTGGTATCCCAAGATTTTTTGATTTTTTTATGTAGGAATTGGTGTTTTTCAGCCATTCCTTTCACTTTTGCTCTCAAACAGACTGGCAGGTAGCTCAGTTGTGTGAGCTTAGCAGAACCTTTCTTTAGGTTACTTAGGAGCACATGTCCAGCTATGTGCATTTAAGAACTGTGAATTCTGTTTTTGAAGTATTAAAAATAAATCTTTGCTGCAGATTGGAGACCTGTTTAAAATGTTTTGTCCTTTCTGGAATACTGAAATTCATTCTTTGAACATTTTCTTCTCTTTGCAGTGCACTTATTGCAGATGTTGTATCAATTCTGAGAGGCTAAAGGGGCTGATTGATTTAACATTAGTTTTTAGTGAGATTCTGGTTATAGGATATACTAGCTTATGCAGACATTTATCGAAGGTATTAATTGTTCTCTACGAAATAAGTAATGAGTTTTAATCTTTTGCTATCTAGTGTAATGAGAGCTGGTATCTGGATTTTTTTTGTGTTATATCTGTGGATAAATAGTGAATGAATAAATTAGAAAATATGATGTTGCATTTTTCTTCTATTTTGATAGATGACCAAACTACTGAATATGAGTTACATTGAGTATGTAGCCAATAAAGTCTCCACGTTCCTCCATTTTCTCCCTACAACTATAGTAGCTCAGATTCACTTTGTTTCTGGGATTTTTGGTTGCTTCCTCCTTTTCCTGTGTTCATTAAGTTCTTAACAGAGCTTCGTTACAGCTGTTAATTTCAAATTTCTTTTTGCCCTCTGTAGGTCCATATGATTTCGGGGGTGTTCTGACAAATAGTAACCGGGATGTTATAAATGGAGATGCTATCCACAAGCGAAACCAATCTTACAAGGAGATGCATTGGTAAGTTTTATGAGTGTGACAATTGCAAACACATTCAGTTCATGGCAGGACATCATAAGTGTAGATTGGCTTGAACTTCACCAATTGTAAATGACTATGCAATTCTAAATGACAATTTAAGCATGGGAAGTATTACTGTGACTTAAGGTAAATTCTTTATTACTGGGAAGTTTCAAGTTAATGGATGATTAGTTCTCAAGAAGACAAACATCTCTACGTCTCTTGTTAGGAAAGAACTAACAATTCCTGTAATCCATGTTACAGAGAATACCCAGTTAGTTTTGCAGTTACTTTCTCAGGGTGAATCTGAAGATTGAGGCAAGAGGGAACTGCTGACTTTTTATCTGGACATGAGCAGCTGTGTTTGAGAAACTCGTGCCCTGGCACAGCTTCGTAGCAATCCTAGTGCTCTGTGAAGCATCTTTCTCTTTTCAGCCTTCACCCTGGGGATCTCTACCCTTTCACAAGAAAGCCACTTTTTATCATTGTGGATTCTTCGAACAGTGTGGCCTATAAGGTAAGGCTCTTGGAGACAGCTATTTACATGATAGGATACAGTGTCAACCCCTAGTTAGCTTACACTTTTAACAGGATATTTTTTTAAACACTTTGTATTCAGTCTTTCTTTTCTTTTGAGGTTGTGCATGCTAGTCAGGATCTGATCCTATGAATAGGAACAAGAAGGAGAAGCACATGAACAGCCGCTCATTGGAAAGTAATAAATCCTCCTGGAGGGAATAAAAGTTCAAGATTTCCAAGATCTCTGGTGGGAGGTTTATTTTTGTTATATACCAAAGACAAAGCTTGGTGTGTGTGTGCATGGGGGAGGGCACTAATTAATCTGCTTTTTTTTTTCCAGTCATCCAGCACTCAGTTGCCTTTAACCACCAGAAACAAATCAAAGCATTGAGACCAATCTTTTAAAACATGGGGTGTCTGTGTCTGTAAAGTATCTCAACCAAAGAAATAACAAGACTCAAGTTAGCATCCGCTGTTACTGTAGAGTGATGTATTCTTGGACAATGAGTCTCCTTCTAGGGTGCTATCAACTCAAAATAGAATTACTCCATGCCAAATCATATTTGGGAATCTGCAGTTCGGGTAATAAAAAAGCAGGCATTTGCAATCTGAGTTGGCTATTGCATCTGGAGAGCATTATGACACTTATTTCAGTCATGAATTAGATATTATGAATGTGCTATATCTGGGGAAAGTGCCACTTCCTTATGTCTTGCTTTTTATAGCTCCATTATTTGCAGTGAGAAAAGTGAACATTCACAGCTGTGTTTCTGAGGCGGAGTAGGGACGTCTAGTGGCCAGATGAACTTGTTCTTGATTCCGTATCCACAGCCTGCATCGTTTGTTTTAAAGGCTTGTGTTGGCTAATGAGTTATTAAATTAGTGACTAGGTGATTCGGAATTGTTTTGTACTGAGCCATGTAATTCTTACCTAACAGTCTTAGAAATGATCTGGCCTCTCTGTAGAGTGTTGTTCGTGGCACTGTAGTGCATTTCAGAGGGCTTTTTAACCACTGCTGTGTTTAACTTCACCACGCTAGCTTGCAGCATAAATTTGTTTTTTATTAAATCTCTTCTCCATTTAAAGGGAGAGAAATGTAATTAGAGTGCTTTACTCTGAGAAGAGAATGTGGTGGAGATTCATTTTTCTCTGCTCTTTCTTGACATTGATTCCTATATAGTTGTTTTCTTTTCAACTGAAGGGCAGTGACAGAATTCTCAGTCTCAGTATTTCCTAGCCCTTGTAAATTCCTGTCTGTTGTTCTGCATGTGCTTACGTGCTTGGTTTCATGTAGCAGAATATCTTAACAGTGCTGTCCTGCAGATATTCCCTCGGTGTGTTACAAGGTGTTTTGTAGACTTAAGCACTGGCGCAAAGAGGTTCTGTGCAATTCTGTGAAAAGCTGAGGTCAGTGTACTGACTTTTTTTCTACACAGTCACTGTGATCTTTTCTAACAAGACAGCAGCTATCCTGACATTTAAATGTCACGACTGGCAACACCAGCAGTAACAGCAACTGCTCACGCTTCCTCTTCTAAAATCCACTTCTGATCTCCTGTGTGCACTCCCATCCTCACAACCTTCCTTGAAGGTTTGAATAGTGATGGCTGAAAGTACGTCCTGCCCACTTTGTCAGACAGTCAGCACTTACTTGATTGTGTATTTACTTCCCTGTATATTTGACTGAAAGTGGACGATAACCGCAGATCAAGCACATCCATTTGAAGCTTTTTAAAATTTATTTGTTTTGAACCTCAACTGAAATACAGATGGCTGCGTTCTTGAAGGTTCCCACTGTATATGTAGATGAAATAATATTTTAAAATCACTACTTTCAGGTAGCTGTGGTTGTATGCGATTACAGTCAAATGCAGAGTCTTAAAGAGTATTGCTCCAGCCAGAAAGAATGCAAGGCCTTTGTCAGTGATGTGATGTAACCCTCAATTTAGTAGAGCTTACGTGTGAGATGACCTCTTTTGGAGATCACAGGTTGTTCTCTTTTGGTAAGAAATGTTTATGAGATGTGAAATGTGTTTTTAAAAGCTGCACTTCTGTTGAGAAGCTTGAATACTGAAGTAAAAAAAAAGAGCCAATTTTGAACCAAAAGTGTGGCTTACCCTTTCTGGAGTTGTCCATGCACTGAAAGGCAGAGCATTTCCTTATCTAGACCTGCTGTCAGCAGTTCCGCTGTTTTTTGTGGTGCACGGTGTGGTCCTCCCCTGAGCCTTGGCTGTTACCTGCTCCTTTTCCTTTGCTGTGTGCTTGAACACGACTCTTCCCTGTGGAATTCAGGAGCTGAGGTGGTGGAAAGTGAATCCTGGTGTTCGCTTGGGCTGTGGTTAGCAGCTGTGTCTGGGCGAGAGCTGAGACAGGTGCCTGGAATCTTGAGACTCATTCTCCTGGATCCACAGTTCAGATATAGCAGCTGGTAGAAGAAGCAGCAGCCATTTTCCAAAGAGTTCTATTTTAGGGTAAACTGGGTAGTTTTTCCCATTGTAGGACTTAGCAGTTATATTGACCTAACCACCTGGCACATTTAGAATCCATACTGTTCACAGATGCTGTCAAGGAACAACGCCCTTCTTGAGATGTGTGACTGACCCTTGGTTTTACTTTATGGCTGTAGGCAATGTTTAATAGCAGTATTCATTTTACTGAGGGAACATGTCAGAAATCTACACGACATTACACTTGGTCTTAGCCAAAAGCCAAGAAGGGATGTGGCCCTGCCTATGGCAGGGGGTTGGAGATTCATGATCCTTGAGGTCCCTTCCAACCCGGGCCATTCTGTGATTCTGTGAAATCTATGTTGGCCTCTGACTGAGTGATAGAAGATTGAGTTCAACATGTGAATCTGCTCATGAATACTGAGCACGCATGTTGAGAATGTGTGACCTGCCAGCCCCTATTCATCAAAACTGTCAGTGTCTGAAGTGACTCCTGAATTTTTGAATGTTTATTTATCATTCAGTATTACTAACTGCTGAGCTGGCTGCAGATAGCGTCTTCATGATCGTAGTTTTTGTTTCTACATTAGAGACTGAACCTTAATATCTAGCATTATAAATCTCCACCAGGATCTTGTTGAAATAAAGAGATTTCTAGGACTAGTGAGCACTCTGTCAGGTACGTGTAGTATTTTATTTTCTTTGGACTGGATTCTTATCTTTAGCAGACTTGGATGAAATTATTTGGTGAAACTAATTTAACTGAAATATGCTGCCTGGAAAGGAATGTTACAAGTGAATTATGCAGAAACCAGGAAGAATTAAAAAATTATCTTTTTGATGATTTTGCACAAGCAAGTGCTTGTGATGATTCATGCCTGACATCCATCCTGCCAGTTTTAAGAATATAATCTGCAGAAGCGTGTGTTGCGCTTCAGCTCTGGGTGCGTAAGGAGGAATGTAGACATAAACATTTACATTTTCTCTGCATTTGCAAGCCTGCAGTTTTAAGAAAGCTGTTGCTGACAAGACAGATGACAGGTAATGTGGGGAAGTTCATTGCGGGTTTCTTTAGTGGTAATCATTATGGCCAGTTAATATGCCTGTTAGATACATAATAAGATTATTACCAGGTGAATGGTAGTGAAACAAGACAAAGACTTCTTTTAAGGTTTCTGGAGGAATTTGTGTGCAACAGAACACCTGTGCAATCCTTAAAATGCTGGTAGCAGGTCTGTTGAATAGATATTTTACAACGTGGCTTCCATACAGCAGATGTTAAGGTTGTGACCTGCTTGTTTTAAAGTGAACAAATTTTAGAGTTTTTCTCCATTGGGCTCTTCTGTTTCATCAGGCAGAGTTCTTCTGGAAAGAAAAGCGTAAAGAAAGCACTTTAATGGGATAATTTTGTTGGTATTGAGGAGAAACACTACATCTTTTTTGACCTTAATGCCATTGGCTTTCATTGCTATTGCAGGATATCCTTCTTGTTTGTTTGTTTTGCCTGTTAATGAAAGCCATATTTCCATGAAATTAGTGTCTGCTATCAGTTGTAGTGAAATGAGAGGATTAAGCAGCCTTAAAAATATAATGGATTATATCTCTTCTGTGCTGTGAGCTAGAAGTAAGTCAGTTTGTCAGTTTTACAACCAATCTTAACTGTGTGGCAGTTAAGTTAGCGTGTTCTATGTCCTGAGTATTCTTTGTACCCTTAACCTGTCGAATATTCAAAAGCAAGCAGAGTAACAATCAATACTTCTAAATTCTTATCTGTTACAGAATTTCACCAACTTATTTGGACAACCATTGGTGTGCTTGCTTTCTCCAACAGCATATCCAAAAGCATTACAAGGTATAGTATAAAGTATAGTATGGTGTTTTCTAGCACAGTGCTGGGATTCTTATTGTATTTTTATTATTGCTGTTATTATTAGCGCTTGAGATAGATTTATTAGTACCCAAAGGTCAGCAGAATGCATTAAGGTGTTAGCTTTTAAATGTCAAATCTGAAGCAAAATCCTCTCATATCTGGTTCTGATTTAGAGGGTAGCTTTAGGAAAACTTGGATTTGCATTGTCTGAGAAGGTGGGTCTATAGCAGGATCAGGAGAAGAAACATCATTTTTCTGTCCACGTGATTATGATAAAATAATAACTATTCTCCTACAGGAAAGAAGGGGACAGACTCTTTAGCAGGGGCTGAGGTGATAGAACAAGGGGAAATGGTTTCAAGCTCAAAGAGGTTAGATAAAAGGAAAAGATCTTTTACAGTGAGGGTGGTAAAGCGCTGGAACAGGTCGCCCAGTGATGTGGTGGATGCTTCGTCCCTGGAGACTTGAAAGGTGAGGCTGGATAAGGCCCTGGGCAACCTGATCTAGCTGTGGTGTCCCTGTTCATTGCAGGGAGTTGGACTGGATGGCCTACAGAGGTTCCTTCCAACTTTAAGCTTTCTATGATTCTATTTAAAATTTCCTTATTGGAATTTGCCATATTAAGGTTACTATTCACCACAAAGACAAGTATGAGCATCTAGCTTAAGCTATGTAGAGAAGTGTTAGGCAAGCATCATGAGCAAATGTGCAAGAAGTAGACACTTTTCATTAGTTTCAGAACTAGTTCTGCTATTTAGCAGAAACTTAAGTAGAAAGCAAGTGTTGTAATAATTAATTCAATTTAAATGGACTTTGAAAAATAGAGCTGAATTCTTTATCAACTATTAGATGCTTGTGTGATGTGCACTGATCAGTCAGGAACGTCTTGCTGTTGTTGTGAGGGTGTGGTATGGTGCACTGGAGTACAGTACAGAGCCTGGCACTGGGGCTGTTAGGGTCTGTGCTCATGTGCTGCCTTGGGCAGATAGGTTACGAAAGCACGTGAAGCTAACAAACTGCTGTTGGAAAATGCAGCAGGTGAGCAGCTTCATTCTGAGGCAAGGACAGCTTTTCTGCTTTATGAGCCAAACGTATCTCTGTCTATTGATTTTTAGATCAGTCTCAGCGGGGCAGCCTCTTCACACTCTTTCTGAACAATCCTTTAATGGCATTCCTGTTTGTCTCTGGATTATCAAGCATGCGCAGAGGACTGTGGGAGAAGTGTCAGGATTATCTTAGGAAAATCAATCGAGACATCGCGCAGCTGCTGACCCACTCCCGCTCCATAGGTACGTGCCGCGGATTGCGGTGGAGACGTGGTGCAATTCAGGTGATGCTGTTTTCTGCTGCTCGGCCTTTCCAAGGGACAGAGTAGCAAACGAGGAGGGAGGAGGCACGCAAGTATTTGTGGCTTCCTCAGGTCTTATTTTTAAAGCCTTTCTGAATTGATTCTGTTTGTTGCCTTTTTTTTTTTTTATAGATCAATCCTTTCTTCAGTTTTTTGGGGATGAATTTCTTCGTTTGCTTCTAACAAGATTTATCTTCTGTTCAGCTACTATGAGGATGCACAAAATTTTCCGGGTATGCAGAGATATCTGTCCCTTTGTGAGAATGACAGTTGAGTGCTTATAGAACTGCAGGATGGAAGGGCCTAATGGCTAAACATATAGTTGTGACCTCAGAAAGAGAGCTGATATTCACGTGCTAATGCCTTTAGCTTGTATTGAATTTGTGTCTTTGTACCTCTCCACGCACATGAAGCCTTTGTCTTGCTTCATTCTTAATATTTTACGTAAGTAGCAGATGTTCTGAGTCACTCTAAACAGCTTTGTCTGGTAGAAAAAATTCCTTTTGATAGTGAGAACTATTATTTCTACACAACTAAAGAGGTGTAGAACAAGAATATGAGAGGAAAATAGAAAGGAGTGGAACTTCATTGCTGGAATGTATTCTAACATGGATTGGAGTTTGAAAGGTGTTTGAAGTTTTAATGAGTAAACTAAGCAGGAAGATGGTATTTTCCCTCCCTGCTGGTTAATATTGTACCAACAATGAAATTCTGCTTCTGGATCTGCACCATTCTGTATTTCTGTCTGTTGGCAAATCACCTGCCTACTCTATTTTTAAACATTACAGAAGAAAAAAAGTCAAAACACAGGAAGTATACAGTATTCATCTCGTGTAACTCATGTAACAGATATCTCGTAGCTTTCCAAACCGAAGTTAGCTGCTAGGCTTCCTAGAGAAAAATAGGTCATCTGTGAGTGGGGATGGATTGGTCCCTTTAGGATGGGAGAAATCTCCCAGTGGAGATGCTGAAGTGTCTACAATGTCAAGAAATAAACTCTGGCCAATTAGGTAAGTATAGGTCAGGTTGGGGGTTTTTTTGTTTTAATCTTTGTCATTGTTTTATATGGCAAAGCTTTTATGAATGTATGATTTAACCGTCTTAGACGAACAGGGGTTTGTAGAGCCGCTCTGAGGTAATGGAAAACTGGAAGTGGCGTCATTTCTGATGGAATCTTTTCTCTCTCTGGCAGGCTAAACAGATTGGGTTATCTCTTATGTGAAATTGGACTTGTGCAGTCTTCTGAAAAGCTATAAAAAAAAAGTCTGATTCTTTTTGTTTTCACTGTCATCTAGCAGGAAACACGGAATTATCCAGAATCTTACCCTCAGCTGCCAAGAGACGAAACGGTGGAGAACCCTCACCTCCAAAAGCACATTTTGGAGCTGGCTTCCATACTGGATGTTAGAAATGTTTTCCTGGAAAACACTCTTGACGACTATTGAGAAAAACTGTCTTACTGCAAAGGGGTTTCCCTGGCCACAGATTTTGAATGGTGCAGTTTTCTAATGTGAAAATCATAAAAGGAAGTACTTGATTTTATTTTTAAACTTAGGACCATTATTTTAAAAAGTAATAATAAACAGCTGTTAGGTTAGCTGTTCCATTCTGTATGGGGGGGTCAATTTTATAAGAAGTTTTCATGTCTTTTAAATGTTAAACTAAAGAATTGCTAGAGGTTTATTTCTGGTCTTGTGGCTGTCAACCACATTTCCAACAGCTGATCCTAAGCATAGAAGTATTATTGGTTACCTTTATCCCACATTTGTGGAAATCCTTTATTTTTATACAATTTTAAGAAATTGGAAAAAAATTGATAGAAAAATGGTATTTTGTCCCCAAAGAGTCTGGATTTGAAATGATAAAGATGGAACCACACAGTGCAAACCAACAATAGCAATAAAACAAAGTCCTTCATAACCAATATATTTTTTCAGTCTTAGGCAAGTAAGTAGACAAAACTGTGGAAGATTAAGTTGCATTTGGAGACAACGAGTTTGAAATGAAGTTGTAAAGAAAGTTAATGCTCCCTACAGATTTGACACAGCAATGTCATGTATAAACTCTGAACTGCTGGCCAAGGACACAATTTCCCCTCTGTCTGATGGGATACGTGGTTAGCAATTAGTGAATTAAAAACTAAGAAAGCTAGCACCCCTCTCTCACTGTAATAAGGATCATCTTGCCATTTTTGTTGCTGCCACAGTTTTCTAGGAGATAGCATTCTTCATTGTGAGCCACTAGTCAGATATTCTTTAATTTCCAGCAGGTTTTATCTTCCTTTCTTTGTGTGGATGAAATGTGTGGCTCCCACAGTGTTACCATTCCCTGACTGGAGTTGAAAGAATGCCCCATGAGTGCTGAATACAAGCCCTTCCTATCCCCCATTTATTAGACCAACCTGTGCTGGAGCTGTGCCCTGAGAGAGAGATGCCAGTGCTCCTCTCATGAGTTAAAGTGTGGATCCTGCCAGTAGGAGAGGTTGTGGTTGTGTTTGGTAGCCCTGTAGTATCCCTCAGCCTAGGGATCTTAAGGAGTGCAACAGCCTCTGCAAAGGCTCTTTCTGGAGAAAAGTGCTTGCCTGACTCTCGTAGACTGTACTGCCTTCTTTGCAGAGCTCGAGGACCTCTTGCAACTCCTGGTAGTAACGGTTTGAGCAGGGGGAAGGGAGTGAAAATATTTTAATTAAATGAGTTTATGTTCGCTGTTCCGTGTACTAGAAAGGCAGTGGAAGAACGAGTATGATCAGCGCTTTTATGTTGAACCTCAGCCATGTCTCCATTTCTGTTGGGGGAAAAAAATGCAAAATTTGGTGGCTACCATAGTTATCACAGTAGACCTGTTTGCAAGTGTTGTCATACAAGGTGTGATCTTCTCAGCTGGAATAGTGGAGGGCAGCAGTTCAGCACTGATGAGCCTTCGTTCAGTTCAGTGGTATGTTCTTCATGGGTAGCATGGTGTGGCACATCAGGAATTGCTCGAGTGAAGGTGGGAAGTTGCTGTGATGGTCCTCTCTATCTGGGATGCAGCTGATGCCACCCATTCTTTAATTTCTAAAGTGGAAAAAAAAAAAAAAGAAAAAAGTCAAAAAAAAGAAAAAAAAAATAGTAGTGTTTGTTCTAAGCAGTCTTGAAGCCGTTGTGTTGGGCCCCCACCACTTGGTGCTGTTCTTTGGACTTTGGCAGGACTTTGTTACATGGGGTATGGAGTTTATTTTGAAGAGTGCGTGTCTGTGTGTGTGCATGTGTATTCTAGGCGTCTGTGTGTATATGTACAATACGCATACATCTACTGGCTGGTGTAAATTGTAAATATGTATATATGTATAGGTACTTGTATATGTATTAAAAAGTATGAAACAGTACAATGTCTATATACAAAATTTATATATACACACATACGCCATTCTGGGTGCATTCCCCAAAGTATTCCAGATCATTTGTGGTTGTCGTAACAGTTACGGCTCGTCTGCTGTTGTAATAATCTGTTTTAAGGGACTTGCAGTTTGTCCTTGAAGTAATTCAGAAGTGATTTCAGATGCAGGAAGCCTCAGTTAGCCGGGGGAATGAGTGCTCCTCTCTGTGTTACAGTGATTAGATTCATAGATTCTGAACTGTGAAGCGAATGATCTGCCTTTACCTCTGGTAGGAGGTCTCCATTTATTAAAATATGGGATTCTGCGTGGAAGCTAAAGATAGCAGAAGGCCTTTAATGCAACAGCAAGTGAGAGAGAGGGATTTTCTGTTACCCTGCCTGCTGTTCCTCCTCCGGCAGCATTCAGCTTACAGGAGAGAAGGATTCAGATTTCCCAAGCTCACTGCCTTCCAATCAAATGCTTTTGTTTTGCTTTAGCATTTGCTTTGATGAAGCTGTTCTCATTTTGGTTCCATGTACCTGGATGACAGTATGCGAATTCTGAGGATAGGAGCGATGGTTCCATTAGCGTGAGCTGGTGAACTTCTGTGGGAAGTGTTGAACTGAATGGGAAAGCCTTGGCAGACACAGTCTTCATTTGAGCTGGGCTGAAGCAAGGAGTCTTTGCTTGTGATCTGACAGGTTTCTAATCCACTGTGCAGCCCTAAGAAAAGGTCTTTAAGAAAACAAAACGAACAGAAAAGCTGCAGATGCTAGAATATAGGAGGAGAATTTGAAACTTTCAAAATTAGTTCAGATGTTGAATTTCTTAGCAGCAATGACCGTCCAAGTCAAAAATTCCTCCTGGAGGTCCCTCATTCTCTTCTTACCTTCTGACCTTTGGTTCAGAAGGACTGCTGCTGACAAGGGTACTCAAAGATTTCACTTGTGTTAGAAAGAGTGCAAAAGTGTACCTTACAAAGAAAAAGGCTGATACCTTCTGTCTGCTCTCGCTGTAGATGGATAAGTATCTGGTCTTGGATTTTGAGCCAGCCCCCTCCCTTCTGACCCAAAGCAACTGCTTTCAAGATGAAAACTGATATTTTCTCTCCAAGTAAAAGCTTGTCTTGTTTGAACTTACTGAGTCATTCTAAAGTTGTGCTACTGTGTGCTGTGTGCTATGGTCATAGGTACCTTCTCTGTGTATGCTTGTAGGTACTGAAGAAAACTTTGTGTATTTAGCAGTCCTCACTGGAAGCGAGGGGAAGACCGAACCATTTCCGAGTGAGAAGAGAACAGATCCCTTTCTTCTCAGGCCTAATGCCTTCCCTCTTGTCTTGCTAACCCTTCGCTCATGTTAATAGAGAAGACTTGCCATCACCAGGCAAGGGTAAATGCTGTATGTTATGTACTATGAGAGGAAAATGTGAACTGTACTGGATGTCTGTGTATTGGACAGCTTCTGCCTAGCTTCCTATTTCTTCTGCATGTAATACGTTTGAATTAATCCTACTTTCAGAGGAGGCACCTCTGTTCCTCCCCCTCTGTTCCGAACATCTTAGCCACAGTTAGTGTTGCTGCCTTCTTTTTTTGCCTTTTTGACTTGTCAGAATAACAGTGGGAAGGGAAGAAAAGGTTATGAATCTTTACAGCTGTGTTTTTAACTACTCCTGGGATGTGATGTCTCATTTTCTTCATTCACAACTAAACGGAGCACCAGCTCTGTGAGCTTTGCAAACTGGAGTTGCTCCCTGGAGTACTTTCTCAAGAAGTTTCAGGACGGTTTGTTTGGATAGTTTATCAAACAGTGTCTGTCAGGTTATGACTTATTAAAGCTCTCAAGACTATTCCATAGGGAGATGTGCAGCGATGTCTTTTAAGGATCGCAGGAAATAGATGGAGACGGGGAATTAGGCTTCAGATAATCATCTTCATAAGGTGCAGTGTGAGTAGTTGTGATCAGGCAGCTCCTCTGGGAATGAAAGTATCGCTCCATCGCTCATCCACAGGCATGTTGTTGTGAAGTGCCTCCCCTTGCTCTGCCTTCATCCTTACACTGTAACTCCATGCTATGCCTGAAGCCTGCTTCTTCCTAAAAGCTAAAAAGCTTGGAATCCGTCTGAACTTGTTTTTTGTTTTTGTTTTTTTTTTTGTTTTGTTTTGTCTTGAGGCTTCTTTTGTAACAGCTTTGTCTATGTTAGATTCTTCAGTAGGTGTTCATATTACAGGTCACTAATGATGGCAGTAGCAGAGCTCTCGGTTAGTCCTGCCCTTTCTGGACCAAGTGGCTGCTTAGGTGTCAGCGGCTGATCTGTGATGGCTGCTGCTGTTCTTTGGCTGAGGGAGCTCCGCAGACTGGAAGCTGTTCACATCCCTGGTGACTTTGCCTAGCAGCACTGTCAGCTTGTGTGAGGGGTGTTGGTGCGGAGGGTGGGGCAGAAATCTGTGAAGTGGAGAGGTTGCATGTTGCTGAGACGGCTCTCCGACATTTTCTAGTGTCTTTGACTTCTAGAGCAGTTCTGTTTCTATGACCAAATCTAGTGCACGTGCTTTGAAGATTCAGATGTCTGCAACTAGAACAGGAGGAATACATCAGGCAATTTTTTAAAAGTTATTCTTCTGTTTGTTTTTGTTTTTACTCTAAACCATTCCTCTGCCAAAACAAAAGAGATTTAGTTTGAGATTTCCGAATCGGATCATTTGGAATATCGAAGAGCATCTCTGCATTCCTGTCGGTATGGTGATGCACGCAGAGATGATTTGCTCTTGAAGCTCCTGGTTTCACACTGAGAGCGGACTGCAGCTCCCAAAGGAGCCCTGGAGCCTCTAGCTTTGCCCGATGCAGCGGCAGCTGTTGGCTCGAGCATTAAGGCCCGCTCTTATTGTCGGCCCCTGGCGCTGCAGGTCTCCTTTGGCACGCGTTGCTCGTCGCTCCCCCGTCGGGGCTTCGTTAGGAGCGGAGCAGGAGCCGCTGTGCAGCAGGGCGGGGCTGGGAGCGTTCGGAGAAATGAGACCTTTTGGTACCGAAAGTAATTTTATAATGAGTAAACTTAAAGTTATTTGACAGCCGTGTGCCTGTAAATCGTATTTTGGTAAAAAAAAAAAATAAAAACACACAGATATTTTACTTAAAATAGAGATATATGAATAAAAGTTTTGGAGCAAATAGCCTTTTTTTTGCAAAGGATCTGTAAAT